CACACACACGCACGCACGAACGCACGCACGCACGCGCGCACGCGCACGCGAACACGCGCACGCGCACGCGCACGCGCACGCGCACGCGCACGCGCACGCGCACGCGCACGCGCACGCGCACGCGCACGCGCACGCGCACGCGCACGCGCACGCGCACGTACACACACACGCGCACGCGCACGCGCACGCGCACGCGCACGCACACGCACACGCACACGCACACGCACACGCACACGCACACGCACACGCACACGCACACGCACACGCACACGCACACGCACACGCACACGCACACGCACACGCACACGCACACGCACACGCACACGCACACGCACACGCACACGCACACGCACACGCACACGCACACGCACACGCACACGCACACGCACACACACACACACACACACACACACACACACACACACACACACACACACACCAAGCATCTCAGGGGAGGCGGGCACCACCGGAAGCCCCAGGTGAGGGCCACGGCCTGCGCCTCGCACCCCTGCCGTCGCCAAGGCCTCTTTGATCCGAGCGCTCTCTCTCTCTCTCTCTTTCTCTCTCTCTCTCTCTTTATCTCTCTCTCTCTCTCGCTCTGGATCTCGCTCACTCTCGCTCTCTCTCTCTCTCTCTGACTCTCGGATTCCCTCATCCGAGCGCCCAGCCATCCCCGTCGAGCTTGACGCGTGCAGCGCTCCCGACGCAGAAGGAGGACCATGTGGAGGCAGGAGGGTGGGGGAGGGGGGAGGAGGAAGAGAAGGAGCAGAAGGGGAGGAGGGTGGATAGAGGAAGAGAAAGCAGAGGAGAAGGAGCAGGAGCACGAGGAGGAAGGCCACGTGGAAACAAGAGGGTGGAGGAGGAGGAGGGTGGACGAGGAGGAGAAGAAGTATGATCAGGAAAGGAAGAGGAAGAGACGGAGGACGAGACGGAGGAACGAGGAGGAAGGTGGATAGAGGAGGAGGAGGAGGAGGAGGAGGAGGAGGACCAGGAGGAGGAGGAAGAGGGGAGACGGAGGACGAGGAGGAAGGTGGATAGAGGAGGAGGAGGAGAAGGAGGAGGAGGACGAGGAGGAGGAGGAAGAGGGGAGGGATGAGGAGGAGAAGAAGACGAAGGGAAGGAGCAGCAGGCACACGTCGGGATGGGCACAAGCAGGAGACGGAGGAGTGGACGCGGACTTTGGAGGAAGTCGAGGAGGAGGAGGACGAGGACGAGGAGGGGGAGGAGGAGGAGGAGGAGGAGGAGGAGGAGGCGGAGGAGGAGGAGGAGGAGGAGGAGGAGGAGGAGGCGGAGGAGAAGGAGGAGGAGAAGGAGGAGGAGAAGAGGAGTAGGAGTAGGAGTAGGAGTAGGAGAGAGGAGGAGAGGAGGAGGAGGAGGAGGAGGAGGAGGAGGAGGAGGAGGAGGAGGAGGAGGAGGAGGAGGAGGAGCGGCAGCAGCAGAAAGAGGTTGAGGGGAGAAGGGAGGAGGACGAGGAGGCGGAGGAGGAGGAGGAGAAAAAGAAAAAGAAGAGGTCCTCCGCTCCCGGGGCGCACGCCGATCCTTGCTAGCCTGCTTGCGTTTGCGTCGACGGGCGCGTGCGTCGCCCTTCCCGCGCGCACCTGGCGAGACTTGACCACCGGAAAAATCGGTACACGGCTCCGCCACCTAGGGGGGGCTCACGGCCTCTGAGCATACTCTAACGCCTGCGCCTCAGTGAGCACCGTCTCTGCTCTCATGAAAGTCCTGCTGCAGATCTGGTTTGAGGGCGTTTCTGGAAAACTCACCTCATCCTGACCCCCGGCGCGCGAGAAAGTCGCCTCCAAGCGCGCCCCCTGGGGGGCCATTTCCGGGAATGCACTGGGCGGGCGCGCCGGACGTGTCCCAATACGGCGCGCTCGCTCGAGACATCGTCGCAAAAAGCACCCCACGCATCCCCGGCGCGCCCCGTGGCGTTCCAGGGATGCACCGGTTGCGCTGCGGCGCGCTCGCTGGTAACATGGTCACCAACGTCGCTCGACGGGCCCGCGACGCGCCCCATGGGGCCATTTCCAGGGATGCACCGGGCGCGCTGGGCGTGTCCTATAATCCAGCGCGCTCGATCGAGCCCTCCGCGCAAGAATCGCTCCGCGGGCACCTGGCGCGCTCCCACGCGACCATCTGTCCGGGGAGGCACCCGGCGCGCAGGGGCGTGCCCCCATCCGGCGCCCTCGCTCGAGATGCATCATCGCAGAAAGCCCCCAGTGGGCCCCCAGCGCGTCCCCACCCTGACCTTCCACGAGGGCCAAAAACTAGCATCAGGACCTTGGCGTCTCAATTCCTGTCGAGGTTTTTAACAAGTCCAGATAGGTGTATAGGTCTGGAGTTTTTTTGGGGGGGCTGCACTCTGGAAGGTCAGGGCAGGGGCCATTTTTGGGGATGGACGCGCTGGAAGCGCCAAGCGTGCCCGAATGCAGCGCGAGAGACCTCCTCGCAAACAACTGCTCCGCGGGCCCCTCGGCGCGCCCCCACGGCTCGTCTCTGGGGGTGCGCCGGCGGCGCGCCAGGCGTGTCCCACTCCCCTCCGGCGCGCGGCCCCCCGCAGAAATCGCAAAAAAATCGCTCATTCAACTCGCAAAAAAAACTGGAAAAAATACAAAAATCACAAAATTCGCCCCCCTCCCCCGCCCCCCCAAAAATGGCAACTCTCGCCCACAAACGCACGCTCCTTCTTCTCCTTCTTCTACGCTCAGAAGCTCCCGATCCACCGCAAAGCGACCGCCGTCTATAGTAGCCGCGGCAGCTCACAGATTCAGATGGCGAGCCGGCAGCCGCGAAGCCCGAGCATCCATGGAGTCCGCTCATGTTCCTCGCACTGAAGGGCGCGATCTGGCCACCGCTCGGACGTCCATTCCCTGTGCTTTTTTCGGTTTCGGCACCAGGCACTCGAGAATGTAGTGGCCCACTTTGGTACCGCCGGCGCTGCTGGGCGGCACGGCGGCCTTGGAGCCAGTCGCGTTCGCCGCCCTGTACGCTACCTCCTCTTCCGAAGGGGCCCACAAACACACAAATAAATACACAAAAATAAAAATATTCCAAATATTTTCCTATACTTTTTTTGAATTTGCGTCTTCCCCCCCCACTTCCCATATTTTCCCATATTTTCCTTGGGGTGGACGATCAATTGTGTCTGTGTGTTTTTTCCCCTCCTGAATCTCCTCTTCCTCCGAAAACAACGGCTTGATGCCCGAAACCTCCTCCTCGTCCTCCTACGGCTCGGGGTTCTTCGCGCCAGCACCGCTCGGCGGCACCGCGGCCTTTGAGCCGCCACTTTGTGCAAGGCCTCCTCTTCCTGCGGAGAGGGAGAAATCAACAGCTCAGGAGGAATCGACTCCAAAGTCTCAATCTTTCTCTAGGGGGATCTTGTGCCCACCTTACCACGGTTGTACTCCAGAGTTAACGCACTCTAGAGAAGCTATTCGGGCCGACCTTCTCTCCGACTTTACTCCGCAAACAATGCGTGGTGAGGTCGCCACCAGCTCGACGGCGTGCCGAGGAGCCTCTCCAGACAGTCTTGCCCGTGAACTAAGTCCTGCATAACCTCGCGGGCCCCATGGCGGCCCTCCCTGCTCTCGGATTTGGTTTGCTGAATAGACTCGCGGGTCCCGGTGCGCGAAGCAGCTGAGCCCTGCCTCGGGAATCTGCTCGCCCCGCCGCGGGCGCCGAGGGCGGAAAAGCGCAGCAACGACTTCTCTGGATCCTTCGAATGAGTCGGTTGCTGGCGGGGCAGCAACACGTCCACCGAAGACCGAAGGAGGGGTGCGCGCTCGCGGGGTCCCGGGCCCAGAAGAGCCCGCGGAAGGCAGCGGCGGGAATCGAGCGGCGTTGGGGCGTTTTTCGCGGCGATCCCGCTCCGGTCATGAGGCACGCACCTCCTCCTCCTCCTCCTCCTCCTCCTGAGGAGGAGGAGGAGGAGGAGGAGGAGGAGGAGGAGGAGGAGGAGGTGGACGGGGAGAGGGAGGGGGAGGAGGAAGCTTGCCCGTCGCATGTCGCGGGGAGGGCGCCGGCGGCTGGGAAGAGGTATGGCACTGGGCAGCCACGACAGGCCCGGCGGGTGTCAGTCGCCACGATGAACTCAGAGGGCGCGCGCATCGGCGCCGGGACGGGGAGGGAGCACATGGCGGGCGTGGTAAACAGGAGCGTTGCCTGAGCCAAGAGGCGAGGACCACGAGCTATTGAGATCGTCGGATGCGACTTATCCCAAGCCATTGAAATCTCCAGCCTCCGAACGCCAGGGGAGTTAGAGTGCACGGTAGCATCTGTTGGAAGTTCGCTAACGTTTTCCTCTCGGGCCAGGGAGATTCGAGTGCATGATAACATCCTCTGTCCGTTCGGGACGTTCGGACTCGTGGCACGAGGCAGACAATGGAACGAGCTCCATGGATGATAAGGCATGCTGGAGGCTGGCGCTCTGCGAGCTGTGCGCGCCCCCACGGGAGGAAGAAGTGGCCGACGATGAGGAAGACGATGCCGTCGAGGAGCGGCATCTTGCGCGCACGAAGGAGTTGGTCGGATATGGGCGTGACGTGCGGCAAGAGGAAGTGGCGCCCGGCGAGGCCACGAGCAGACCAGCCTTAGTTTGTGATGCGACGATTTCCACAGACCTTACGCCCGACAGGCCAGCCGTCGTCGCAGAAACGTCAGTTAAGCACATGACCACGATGCCAAGGGTGATCTTGCAGACTTCGACATGGGGGGAGGGTGGGGGAGACGGAGGAGGACAAGGGAGAAGTGGAGGGGAAAGGAGGGGAATAAGGAGGCGGATGAGGCTGAAGAAGGATGGAGAGGGAGGATAATGGTGAGGAGGAGCAGAAGGAGGGAGGAGGATGAGATGAAAAAGGGAGAAGACGCCAACGGGAGAGGGAAAGAAGGAGGAGACCGAATGATATGGAGGGAGGAGAGAGGATGATGGCCGAAGAGATGAGGCGGGAGGGAGAAGGAATGGAGGAGGGAAGGAGGGAGGAGGCAAGGAGGGGGAGCGTGTAAAAGGGGGCAGGAGGCAGGAGGCACGCGGGAGAGGGTATGCGCGAGGAGGGGGCACGGAGTGACGTCGGCCGGCAGTGTCTGGGCGCCTCACAGCTCCTGGAGGCCGCCGAGGCGACGCAGCACCCCCCGCGCGAAGTCGACCGCGTCGTGCCTAGCGCGAACCATCTTGGAGTGGACGAACTCCCAGTAGACCCTGGGGGAAAACCCGGACCCCCTCGCGCAGTGGACGTGAATGGCACGGAAGGCTTTTCCCCCTTATCGGCCTCCGGGGGCTGCCTCGCCTCGTCGAGAGAGGCTTGCCCAGGGGGGGAAGGGACAAGCCTTCTCGGGGCCCTCTTGAGAAACAAAGCAATGCATCGCACCTCTGGGAAAGTACCGAGAGTCCGCTACTCCACGAGCCTCTCCACGGTCGCGTTCTGACCAGGAGGAGGAGGAGGAGGAGGAGGAGGCGGCGGAGGAGGAGGAGGAGGAGGAGACCAGGATTTCACCTCTCCACGGTCGCGTTCTGACCAGGATGTTACCTCTCCGCGGTCGCGTTCTGACCAGGACTTCGTGGAGACCAGCCGTGGCAGCGCGGGCTCGCCTCAGGACGAGCAGCGGCATCGGTATACAGTCGTCGTGCTGCCACAACGAGCGCCTCCCAAGGAGCGAAGGGGCTCTTCAGGCTTCGGCTGGCCACGGCCATGCGTCCCAAATCGAAGGAACCGCCCTAAAAGAGCAGAGCCGCTCTGGAGCCCAAAGTGGTGGTCCGTATTCCAGCGTCTTGACAGTGTCGGTGTTTTTCCCTTCGCGAAAAAATTCAATCAATGGGCGACCCGGATGGAAATTTCCAGCCCTCGGCCCCGAGAGGCCCCCACGAGGCCCCCACGAGGCCCCCAAGAGGCCCCCACGAGGCTCCAAGAAGCCCCTATGAGGCCAAGAGGCCCCCAAGAGGCCCCCAAGAGGCCCCCAAGAGGCCCCCAAGAGGCCCCCAAGAGGCCCCCAAACCGCCCCCAAGATGCTCCCGAGAGCGCTCCGACGAGACCCCAAGACGCCTCCATGAGAACTCTGATCACAACCCAGGCGCGGTGGCGGATGGGCCGAAGGCCAATATATATATATAAATATATATGTATGTGTGTGTGAAATTTTAGAACCATCGTGCACGCTTCGCGCGCGCTCAAGTTCTAGCTAGGTTTGATAGACTAAAGCATGTGATCTCATGTTGGTCGCTTCTTGCGTCCAGGGACTCCCTTGGAGGCGCTGCGCAAGCCTCGGAATCGTACAGAAGGGGAAATACGGAAACGCAGAAATCATTGATTTTCTTTCGGGATTCACCAATTTGGGGCCCTCAAAGGCTTCCTGGGTTCTTTTTTGGGAGGTGAGGGGGGGTCTGAATTGTGGTCTGCTGTGCAAGAGAAGACCGGGGGCCAAATTTGAAAAAAAACAAAATGTGGGATTTCAATTTGTTTCCAGTTCCTCGGCGCTGTTCGGCGCTGTTTTTTGTTTGTGCCTCGCGGGTTTCGTTAGCCGGGCCCCTCAGGGGTGTGGGATCTTCCGGATCCCCTGGGGGTTCTGGAAGCCTCCTGGAGGCCTGGAGAGCCGTCGGAAGGGTGTCTCGGGCTGCGCGGGAACGTGTTGGGTTGTTCTTTACGTTCTGGGGGTTCCTTGGGGTCGTCTTGGGCTGTCCTTGGGCGTCTTGGGGGCCCCCCAGGAAGCCGGGAGGCGCGGTACCGGCCAGATGTCAGGGGATGTGTGGGATCTCCGAGTAGGAGCCCCTCTTTGAAAAAAAAAAGGAATTCTGAGAATTCCCTTCTTAAAAAAAAAAATCCTCGATCTTCGAGGGTTGGAGCGGGAAAACGTGGGAAGGCGAAAAACATTAGAAAATGAAGCGGCCCTGGGACACGCAAATAAATACACACAACTAAAAGGATCCCCCATATTTTCTCATATTGTCTGGGTTTTCGTCTTCCCCCCCACTTCCCATACTTTACTATACTTTCCTGGGGATCGTCGATTAATTGTGTCTGTGTGTTTTTTCCCCTCCTGAGAAAAACCATTGGGAATCAACGATTTTACCCTCTTTGGGCTCTCTCGGGACGGCTCTCGCAGCTCTCTTGGGCTGTTCTTGGAGCCTTGTCGGGGTCTTTTTGGCGCCTCTCAAAGATCGGGGTGGGGGCCTCTGGGGGGTCCCGGAGGTCTCTCGGAGGTCTCTGGAAGCCTCCTGCTCCCGCTCTTGGGCCCATCTTGGGCCTGTTCTGGGGTGGTCTGGGGCTGTCCTGGGCGCCTCTTCGGCACTCTTGGAGCCTTAGGCCGTCTTGGGCCGTCCTGAGGGTCTCTTGGGTGGTCTTGGGGCGGTCTTGGGACCCTCTTCGGCGCTCCTGGACCATTGGAAGCTCGAAAAAACGCGAGAAGCCAAAAATTATGAACATCTACGATTTTGGCCTCTTTGGGCCGTCCTGGGACGCCTCTCGGACCTCTCTTGGGGTCTCTTGGAGGCCACCTGGGAGCCTCGACTCGAGAGCCGTCGGAAGGCTGACTTGGGCTGCTTAGGAGCTTCTTGAACCATCCTTTCGCATTCTGGGGGCTCCTGGGAGGCGTCTTGGGCCCTCCTGGGGCGCTGTGGAGGCTCCCCGGAAAGGTTGGGGGGGCGGTATTGGGAGCGTCCCCGAGATGTCACGGGGAGGTGTGGGACCCGGGGCCGGGGGGGGGTGGCGGCATTTATTATCATTATTATTGTTGCTGTTATTATCGGAAGTTGGGGGGTGAGTCCGACGTGAAACGGACCCCCCCTTCGGTTTCGGTTTCGTGTCGTGCGTGCCGTGCGCGCGTGCGGGCGAGGCGAAGCTGCGTGGGCGGGCGCGAGGGAATCCTCCTGTGGCTAGGCCGCGGCCGGACCAAATGCTTCTCCTCGGGCGGCCGGTGGCCCGCGGTGTCTCGCCGGTGTCCCGCTGGTGTCCCGCCGTGGCTGCGGCGAGCTATCCAATGCAGGTCTACATGCAAACCGACATGCAAACCGAAAAACACATCGACATGCAAATCGACATGCGCATCCAAAAGTAAATCGACATGCGCATCCATCCATAATGCAAATCCAAATGCAAAAAAACGGCGCCTGCGGCGAGCTTTCCAATGCAAGTCGACATGCAAATCGAGATGCAGATCGAAAAGCAAATCGACGTGCACATCGATATGTCGACATGCACATCGAGATGCAGATCGAACAGCAAATCGACATACACATCGATATGCGCACCATAGGCATCGTCAGAACAACAGTCACCACTGTTGCCCATGGCTGCACCCCTCCCACCTCCTTATCACCCACAGGGTGGTCGTGTAGGTGTGTGTATATATACGTGTATATATAAACATATATATATATATATATATATATATAGATGTCCACATCACAACCACAAGTACGTAACAACAACATGCAAAACAACACAACACAACATAACCAAAAACACGTCGCTCCAGAGGTCCCGACCGTTGTTTTTTTTTACACGAGTATATCTATGATGATCCCGGGGCCTAGAAACTGGCCCAGAACCCAAACTCTATGAAACACGCGCCAATATTGAAGCAAACATATCATTGGAGATCAGGGTTCCTGAAATGAGATGTCGCGTGCTTTGCAATACGGGGCCCCAGAAGTCCCGACCCTCTCACCAGGCCCGCTCTTTCGTCCCCCAGGGCCTGGCGAAGGCCACCAGAAGCGGAAAACCGTCAAAGACTTCCAGTCGTGACGTTTGCAAGACGCGAGCATGTCTGGCTTTCCCCCTCCGAGATCCAGCGCGCACCCGAGCGCAGCAACTCTGGGTACACGTGCTCGACGTACCACCCCATGGACCGGCAGCCCAGCGCCCTGCGCAGCCGCAGGCGCTCGGAGACGTCGCCGGGGTCCAGCGCCTCCGCCCACGGGGCGGCGGCGTGGAAGCTCGCTCAGCGGACGAACGACGGTGCGGTCGGACCTAGGACAGAAGAATTCTTGAAGGACGTTCTTAAGAACGTCCTTCAAGAAGGCCAAAACAAAGAGCCCTATCCTCCCCCAGGGGGGGCACAAGAACACCCAAGAAGCACGAAGAACGTCCGGGCACCCTCCCCGGGACGACCTCGATCTTAGACCTCGGTCCGGCTGTACGACATCAGCTGTTCCGCCATCGCCATCGGGAACCCCGGTAAGACGAGACCAGGGCAAGGATTAAGATCGGGTGCGACTGAAATCGAGAAGCCTTGGGATCCAGCGGCTCTGGAGGATGCCTCGGGCGCTGCGGCATTCTCAAATCACTGGATACAAGATTTGTTCGGTCGCGATCGGCCGTGACCGATTTGAAACAGACCAGACGCGACCGGTACTGGTATTTTTTGAAGCAAGATCGGCAGCGACCAGGAGAGTCTGGCACCCAATGATCAGGGCAGGGCGGCTGGGAAGTTGATGCGCCTACGCGTCGGGGTACAAGCTTCCCGCGCCGCCCTGGGACAAGCGTCCCCGATGGCGCGACACAGCTTGTGCCATTCGGCGACGAGCGTGGGAGGGACGTGAGGACAAAACCTTACTTTTCTTCCAGCGCAAACACCTGATGATGAGAGCTGCCAACGCCCCAACTGATGGGTAGAGGATTCCACCATGTTGACCCAGAGAAGGCGACCGGGACCGGATCCCGAGCAGCGCAAAGTGGTGGCCAGGCCCACCCGCTCGAGTGACCAAACGCCTTCTGAGAAGGACAAAGCCTTCTCAGAAGGCGGCGGGGCTTCTCAGGGGACCTCGGGCCTTCTGAACAAAAATCAGTCTTCTGCGTCTTCGGGGAAGGCCAAGACCTGAGAGGAGCACCTCTCAGAAGGCCGGGGAGACTGGAGGAGGAGGAGGAATAGGAGGAGGAGGAGGAGGAGGAGGAGGAGGAGGAGGAGGAGGAGGACGAGGAGGAGGAGGAGGAATAGGAGAAGGAGGAGGAGGAGGAGGAGGAGGAGGAGCCTTCTGAGATATAGCCCGACCCTGCTCGCCTGCCCCCGGGCTCGACGCCGAGCCGTGCGGTCCAACCCGGGCCAGAAAAGAGCCTCCCCCTCGAGAGCACGGCGAGGCCCTCCACCAGCCAAGACATGCAGAGAACACACAAAAAAAGGTACCTACCCTCCCCAGGAGGCACAGGAGCACAGCCATTCAAAGCACAAAGAGCATCCCCCTCGAGAGCACGACGAGGCACTCCGACCGCCAGGACATGCCGAGAGCACACAGAGAAAGGGTGACAGAGAGACAGAGAGAGAGCGCGCTTCACGGGCGCTGGCCTTGGGAACACTCGGCGGCGCGCTCCGAACCGGGGGGTGGGCCCGCCCCCCAACTGAAGAGGGCCCTGGGATACACAAATAGATACACACAAATGACAGGATTCCCCATATTTCTTCATATTTTCTGAGTTTTTGCCTTCCCCCCACTTCCCATATTTTCCCCTATTTTCCTGGGGATCGACGATTCATTGTGGCTGTGTGTTCTTTCCCCTCCTGGCCAACACCCGGCGCCGTCGATCAGAAGCAGGGGGACTCCCCTCGCCCCGAACCCCCCCCCCCACCCCCTGACCGAGACTCCCCCCCCTCTCCTCCCCAGGGGGCGGGGGGGTCCAAGACGGTCGACTTGCAGACGCCGGTTGGATGGTACCTACGCCGGTGGAATGGAGCGTACCCTCCCCAGGAGGCACAAGAACGCACGAGAGGGCTCCCCTCGCCCCTGACCCCCCCCCTGACCGAAACTCCCCCCCCCTCTCCTCCCAGGGGGCGGGGGTCCAAAACGGTCGAATTGCAGACGCCGGTTGGATGGTACCTACGCCGGTGGGATGGAGCGTACCCTCCCCGGGAGGCACAAGAACGCACGAGGGGACTCCCCTCGCCCCTGACCCCCCCCTGACCGAAACTCCCCCCCCCCTCCTCCCAGGGGGCGGGGGTCCAAGACGGTCGAATTGCAGACGCCGGTTGGATGGTACCTACGCCGGTGGAATGGAGCGTACCCTCCCCAGGAGGGGCAAGAGCATAGCCAGCGAAAGCGAAAGCGAAACCGAAACTCCCCCCCTTCTCCCAGGGGGGTTGTCCAAAACGGTCGAATTGCAAACGCCGGGTGGATGGTACATACGCCGGTGGAATGGAGCGTACCCTCCCCGGGAGGGGCAAGAGCGCAGCCAGCGAAAGCGAAAGCACAAAGGACAGTAGGATGCCCAGCTTCCCGAGCCGACCTCGGCCTTGGGCCTTCGGTGGCAACTCACGGGAGCCTCCCAGACCATCTTGCCGTCTCTGGCGAATCGACGCTGGCCGACGAGGCCACATCCACGCGAATCGACGCTCAATCGACGCTCATCGACGCTACATCGATGCGCTCTCATCGACTCCAGACGCTAATCGACGCCAGTCGACGCTAAGGACGGAAGCTACAGGGTATACTGGGTATACTATGCCCTCACGATTTGCCACCGAATATGCATCGGTCCGGCTGCACAGCCTTTCTGTCCGCCAGCTTGCGGCGTGCTCGTCGAGCCAGACCGCGGCGACCCTCTGGTGGTTCCGGAACACCTCCTTGCGGAGGGGGGGCCGGCCAAAGCAGGGGCGGCCCTCCCTGGGCGCGTGCTTCACGTCCTCTTCTTCGGCCTCCCTGGGGAGCTGCTCGACGCCACGGCCGGATGCGCCTCGAGGGGGTTCGGGGGGGACGGGAGAGCAGGATGGCAAAAGGCAGGGCAGAGAATCCGCTCGCGTGGCTGGTCTCCCTGGCGCCTCTTGACGCGGGGAGGCGCCGTGCGCATCGAGGAAGGGACCCGGCGGCGGGGCGGAAGCCAGCTGCATGCCGCCGATTTCGTACCCCCCCCTTTCCCCATCCCCCCTCGACGCGAGGAGCAAGGGTGACGAGCCGGGGGGAGGGCCGACGAGCCTCGCAGAGGAGGAGGAGGAGGAGGAGGAGGAGGAGGAGGAGGAGGAGGAGGAGGAGGAGGAGGAGGAGCGTCGAGGTTCGAGGATCGAGGAGGAGGAGGAGGATCGAGGATCGAGGATCTGGGATCGAGGAGAGGATCGAGGATAGGATGAGGATCGAAGCTGAGGAGGATCGAGGATTGAGGATCGAAGAGGAGGATCGAGCAGAGGATCGCGGCCCGAGCCTCGAGGGGTCCAAGGGCGCGAGGGGCCCCAGGGGGCCGGTGCAGAGCGGAGTGCTGGGCTGGGCGGGAGAGCCGCCGTTATCAACGGCCCTGACCTTTCGGCGGTGGATAAACCTCCCTTTAGTAGACCTCGCCTTAGTCAAAACGGCCTAGGACCGAAACCGACGGACCTGGAAACGCAAACAGGACGGCCGCGACGCCCTCTCGCGAGCCGAAAACGGCCAATTCCTTTATCGACGCGTCAGGGTAGGAGGTCTATCCACCTCCGACTGACCTTTCAGGAGAGCTAGCAAAAATAAGACCACGACCTCGACATCTAGACTTATGTTGTTCCCGTCCTACTTAAGGACCGAATCCCGTTATAATTTCGAGCGCCCGGGAAAGTGTCGAAAGAGTGTCGAAAGGGTGTCGAAGCAGTGTCGGGCGAGTGCCTCCCAAGGCCCGACGCGTGAAAACCCTCGTGTTTCGGTACTTTTTTCGGCGCTCGAAATTCTTCCCGGCGAACAAGGCTAAAGTAGGCTGGAGCATCAAAACTTTCAGGAGAGCTAACAAACATAAGACCACGACCTCGACATCTGGACTCCAGTCCAGGTTTCAAGCAGTCGAGCTGGAGGGCCATGTTCAAGCAGACTGGAAGCGAAGGACGACGACAAAAGCGATAATGAGCGGCGTCACGGAATGATGAGTGTTGCAAGGGCTCCTAAGTTCGCGCTTCGCGCTGCGCGAAGCGCGAAGCGCGAATAACTTCGCGCTCTCGCGCCGCCCTCCCAAAGGGAGAATAGGAGGACGAGGAGGAGGAGGAGAAGGAACGAGGACCGCGAAGCGCGAATAACTTCGCGCCCTCGAGGGAGCCCTTAGTGTTGCCAGACTGGCAACATCGCGCCACTGCGCGCCATCACGCGCGCTCTCGTCCCGCTCGCAGTCCCCACCGAGAAACCCGACGTGCAACGTGAGTGCGTTTTTTTTGTTGTGTTGTTTTGTCAGCTTTTCGTGGGGAAGCCCTGGGAAGAGTATCTTTCGAGTGCTATCAGCTATTGTGGTCGTTGACGGAGTGAGGCTGCGACGCGCGATATAAGGGTGGCCCTGACCCGGATCCTTGCCGCTGACCGAGTAGGGATGCGCGGACCGGAACACGTGCCCCAGGCGGGAGCAGGGAAGGAGCTCGATGCGCCCGCCGCAGCGCCAGGCCCGCAGCGACAGCTCGATGTTCTTGCCCAGGGACCGACCTAGACCTTTTGTTTCGTTCTCGTGTTGCTTCCGTTTTCTCTCGTTCTGTCCGCAATCTGCGCTTGCTGCACAGCGGAGTCGAAACGAAAAAGGCCCACGAGTTCGCCCAAACACCGTTTAGGTCGACCCCTGATCTCGCCACCCCACGCGGACATGCCCATGTCGTACTCCCCGAGCCTCTCCCAGAAGTCGCGCCAGATGCCGAAGATGCCGCCGGAGATTGCGGGGCTAGCGAACGGCTCTGGATACCGGTATGATGCGTTCCTGTACTCTGGGAACGCGGCCCAGCGGAAAGTCAGGGTCCAGTCGAACCCTCCGACCTGACTGTGCGACGCGCGGTACTTGCTGAAGTCCGCCTCCGGTATCACGTCGATGACTGGCGCCACAACCGTGGCGTGATCCTCGGACCCCGCCATGCGCTCGAGCAGAGGCTCAATCCAGCGCGGCTGCACAACGCAGTGAGGCTCCATGAACACGAGTACCTCCGAGGTAGTCCGGCGTGCACCGATCACTCTAGAACGTATCAGACCTTCTCGACGGTCATTGCGATGTACAGTGACCTTGGTGTGCAATGCCCTCAGCTGGTCATGGAATTGCCACTCAGCAGAATTCCCATCATCAATGAAGAGTATATTGTCGACTAGGTCCATGGGTGAATACGAAAGGATGGATCCGACGGTTGCTCTCATCTGTGACCACGACTCGTTCAAATAGGGGATGATAATCGAGACATTGGGGAACCGAGTGGTGTTAAACTTCGCGGACAAGCACCTCGAATGCAATACCTGTGGCGGGACTGGGAACTCTCGCGGACCTAGATGGGGCGAAACTGTACCAAGGTCGCTTTCAGAACCGTCCGTGTCGTTCGCATACCATTCTCGAACATCTGCACTCGCAATTCCTCTCAGAGAGCCTTGCCGCAGAAAAACGAAACCCAGGGTAGCGGCACCGGCCAGTGCTAAGACTTGGACCAAGGGCCACATCCGGCGCAAATGCCACGACCGCAAACATCGCAGGCCCAGACATCCGACGCCGCGACTATTTTTGCAACGTGGCTCCCCAGGATATCTGGACCCCTTCCCCGCGACAACTGCTTCATCCTGACCTTGCTGTTCGGCCTGGGGGTCCAACGATGGCCCCCTCCCAGAGGCCGGGAATGCTAACAAAAAGCCCACCGTAATTTGTGGCTCACGAGGCGAAGGGGTGAAATCTTCGGGCCATCGCTCTGCCTCAAGCTGTCGCTCGGGGCCATTCCGGGACCCCGGATAGCTTCCGACGAGGCGGAGCTGCTAGAGACCATCCCAAAGCCCGAAAACTTCGGGAACCCTTCGAAACCATTCGAAGTCCGCCCGTCGCGACTTATTTATTCTCGACGCGAGGATGTCAGGGCCCGCGCAACAGCGCAGAGGAGCCAATGCTGGTGGGGCTTTGGGTTGCGCACAGGCAACCCCCCCAGGAAGCCCCGGTCGGCATCAACAGGCCCCCCAGTAGCCCCAGCCAACCTCAACAGGCCGCTCGAGGATCCGGGGCGGTTGGCGCCCGTTGAGGCCAGCCGGGGCTGCCTGGGGAAGCTGCCTGTGCGCAACCCAGAGCCTGACCAACCGCGTGTCCGCCGACGACGCAGCGCCAATGCTGGCCAAGTAATATCAAAGCGGCGCTGTGCGATGCGTGCCGCCGCTAACCCCTCGGCCCGCCGGAACCAGCGGCTGCCACGCGCTGATGCCTGACGCTGATCAGAGCCAGTGTTGGCTGTGATGCCAAGGCCGCTCTGTGCATTGGGCACAAGCCGCGCGCGCGGCGGGCGGGGCCAGACTGGTTGGCTCTGCCCCTCCTTGAGCACCCGGCTGGTAGTTGCCTTCGCGCCACTTGACCTCGACACGTACCGGAGTCGAACCCCGAGATCCGAACGTTGCAACCTCTTCACGCAAGGCGATTTCGCCCTGTCTGGGGCCCCGGGAGCATCCCACATTGAGCCGGCTCGAAAAGCGAATAAAGAATGGGGTCTAGGGTTCGAGTCGCGTTTTTTCGTGATATTGTATGTTGGTTGGCATCGTCGGATCAAAACAATGTCCCCGCTGGGGTTACTTCACTCTAACCCCCACAGTATATCTCTCTTCTTTGTTTGGTTTCTCTCTCTCATATGTATGTATGTATGTATGTATGTATGTATGTATGTATGTATGTATGTATGCATGTATATGTATATATATAAATATATATATATATGAGTGTGTGCGTACCAGCCCAAGCAATGCGTTCCCAGCAACACTTCCCGCCCGAAGCAAGGAGGCAGAAGGATAAGTCCGCTGCACCTCAAGAGCGCGATTCCGATGGCACACGCCACGAACAAACGTTCGAGAGGGACAGGGAGACAAAGAGAGAAAGAGAGAGAGAGAGAACAAGCGAAACACCTTTGTGTTTCTAGCAATGTTTGAAGGGCAGTCTTTGTGATGCAACCTATGAGGTGCAATTGTTGTGGGGTCGCCTATGTTGCGCACCATGTGTCGCAGGATCAATATTGTGCAATCCATGGTGACTGGTCCATGTTGTGCAATATATGTGGAGCAATCCATGTGGTTCAGCCTACGTGGCGAAAAACATGATGCGCAATAGTGTGAATTTTCCCCTCCGAAGTTGAGGGTGTCAACTCCACTGCTCGCGCAATCATCCCGCCCACCTACCCAAAGTTTGCTTTGCAAGAACCAAGTGGCGTTGACTCGCGCATCGCTGCGGCCGAGCTAACGCGCGCAAGCTCGCGCGCAGAGCGGCCAGCTACTCTGGCGTGACCGACGCGGCCGCGGTGGCGTCGACCGCTGGGCACTCCCCAGCGCGTCTCGCAAGCCGCACTGACGCGCAAGCACCTCAGGGCGAGTCGGTGACTTGGGCGCGTTCTGGTCGACAACGGCAGATATGATACGCTGGTGAAGGGATTGCAATGGAATCTGCGGCATCTGAACCTGGAAACTCGTAGCGGGCAAAGCACGGCAATGGTGGCTGAATTTGACCTTTTTTTTAAAAAAAAAAATAGGCGCTACGAAAAAAAAGGCCTGTAATAACGATTGCAGCAAGTGTTGTAGCAGTGGGGGCTTGAGCAGGGACTGTAGTAGGGGCCGCAGCACAAGCTGTATGGTGGACTGTATTGCAGCGGTAGTCGAGGCAGCAGTAAGGGCCGTACTACAGCTTGTAGTAGAGCCTATAATGGGGACTGCAGTACGGCGGGGGCGGGGGAAGGGCAGGCGGCAATCGGTTTTACAAGACGCGTTGGGGTACGCCTTTTTTCAACGCAGATGATCGGTTTATCCATCGTATACAGAATGGTATCGGAACGATGTTGAGGAACCTGTACGGATCATGTGCCAGATTGGAACATTATCCATGGCACATGAACAGGACAAGTTTCCAGGCCACCGCAATGAGAAGGTCGATCATAGGAGTGGGTGCGAGCCTTTATGCGTACATTCATGCAGACACATATATATATACAAACATATACGATTATATATATATACATACATATATATATACATATTGGTACCGCTCGTACTCCTTACATCTATATCTATGTAGTGATTCTATGTACGGGTATATTCACACGCGTGTGCATACATGTGTACACATATGTACATGCATATACCAACGCGTCTGACACATGCTTGTCCAACACGCAAATACGCTAAACCATCCGTCGCGACGCGATTCTCTTCAACACACCATGTGTTGCCTGATTGATACGAGTGTGGTCTGTCGCGATGCGCTTCGACTTCGAAGCAAACGATACAGGCAAACGTTGCATCGAGATGCACTGGAGACTATTGAGTTGTAGCCGATATCGAAGCGAAATCAATCCCCAAGGGAGGACACTTGCACCTCATAGATGTGGATGTGTTTGTCGTTGATCTCGTACAACGCCAGAACACGAGCAAACATGCCCCATTCCCCTCGGCACCTGATTCTCACATTGCGTCGCGAAGATTAGATAGTTGCAATCCTCACGGTGCGTCTTCATCCTCTTTCTTCTCAGTTTCACCATCCTGCTCGTTCTCCTTCTCCTTCTCCCTCTCCGCCTCCTCGACCACCCCGTTCTCCTCTCTTTCGCCTCGAAGCGCTCTCCCACCCCAGGGTACGGGGAAAAGGGGCCTGGATTTGTTTCGCCATTTTCGGGCCCCTGGGGCCGTCAGTACAAGCTACTCGGTATGGAGAACTGCTCCTGGGGAGAGCCAAGGGGTATACAGTCAACCCGCATGGTAAGGATGGGCAACCTTCCCAACGGGCCCCTTGCATCCTTGCCTCCTCGGTCCATCCTTGGCCACTCTCATTGGCCGCGACCCGCTCGAAAAGCTTCGAGATGGGCGTCCGGTCCTTGCACCCTTATCGCGCATCCTGGTGATACTGGCCAGCTGTAGGACCCGTTTCCCTCAGGACCCCTTTCCCTCAGGGCGAGCACGCCTCGGATGTCTTCCGGGAGAGGGTGCGCCGGCACGCCGTCGCCCAGACTGCTAGCGCAACCCGCGCTTTCCATGGTAAGCGCTCAAGTCCAGGGTGCTGACTTGATGTTCTCGGGCCTCTGGCCTTAGACGGGTGGGGTGTAAAGCAGTAGTCCGCGTCCTTACGCGAAGTCAAACGCTTGCGAGGTATGGGGGTAGTCACTCCACATGAGCCTGGCGCGCGTGCACTTGGGCACGTGTTTTCGCGTGGGCGGGCTCCAGATGCTTTATACAACATGCGCCTGGCATGTGTTCGAATGTGCAGCTCGTACGCCAGATGGGCATCCGACGCGCAATATGCGTTTCTCGCATGGAGGAAACTGGTTCCGAGGGAGACAAGGCAGGGGGAGGGAGAACGAGAAGGGAGGGAGGAAGGAAGGGGCATCAGGCGACATGTAGAAGCGGGGTAGAGTCAGTTCTGGCGTGTCCCCCTACAGGGGGATTTTCGACGAAAAGAATACTCAACAAATACTCCCGAATGGTCAAAACATACTCAAAAAAATAGTCCGGCCCCAGACTATGTTAAACATATGTTTGAAGATCCCCCCTGTAGAGGGACACGCCCGACTTCAAGGTAGAAGCGGGGCAGAGGGGAGGCGCAGGGGGAGGGAACAACAACGCGGAAGTGACCCGCAGCTCCGGCGTCGTGAGCTTTTTGCTCGCAAGCGCCAGACCCCCCCCGGAAAGCTGAGCCACTGCTCCCGGACCGGATTTCTACATCCCGCGCGCCGTTTCCTGCCCGTCCCGGGGGTCTGGTGAGGGCCCCGAGCGGACGAAAAGTAGATATACACGTCGGTCAGAAGTTTTTGTTTTGTTTTTTGTTGTAAAAAAAGAAGCGCAGCAATGCCTGAGAATCACCTCTTTTGGCCGGTAGACGTCAGATCACAAAGGAAAGCGCTCCCGGACGAACACGTCGGTCGGAAGAAGTAGGCAAAAGCATGAAGTAGGAAGGCGGGTGGTCAAGTAGATTGGGTTCAGGCCCTCGCAGAGAACAACAAAACAGCAGAGCAGATCGATGCCAGAAGTAGGAAGGCGCTTGACACAGATTGGGATCTGGGAGTCCAAGATTACCTACTTTCAACGACTGGCGTGTGACCAAAAATACCGTCCGCTGTGAGTGTTTTTGCTTCACTCGGGTCGGGCGAAAGGGGGGGATAGCAAAGGGGGGGTTTGAGAATCAGCTCACGTAGCTGATTTTCCCGGCGCCTCCCGGCGCCGGGAGGCGCCCGTGTATCGAGGAATGGGCCGCTCGGTGAAGCCGAAATCAGCTGCATGCAGCCAATTTCGTAACCCCCCCTTTCCCAATCCCCCCCTTTCGCCCGGCCCGATTCACATCGCGAGGTGGGGTAGAGGCCTCCCAGCAGCGGCTGGAGCATATCAGGCCGGAGGATGGCGCCGCCTCGCGGAGGCATCAAAGGATGCATCGCCGACGCCTCCTCCTCCTCCTCCTCCTCCTCCTCCTCCTCCTCCTCCTCCTCAGATGCATCGCAGGTGGCGCCGCCGACGTGGAGCAGATCGGGCTCCACGTCGAGCCAGCGGTTACAGAGTGAGAACAGTTATCCAATCATGGCTCGAGTAGCAGACTGAGCTCAGGCCTCTCGAGGCTCAGACCCAATGCCTTGGAGGCTGCCGAATCGATTGGTTTGATCGAGAGCTCTGTAGCTGCTGTGAATTGCGAGATGTTCTAAAGTGAGACATTTCGATATAGTAAGACATCCACATCGCCGATGCATCGGCGAGACGGCGCGATCCTCCGACCCCATCTGCTTGGACCGCGTTCGAGAGGCCCGGATGGGGACAAACCATCGGGTGATGAGGAGGTTCGGGGGGGAGAAGCCAACGTCTCACTCAATCGATCTCAAGATCGATCTCACTATCGATCTCACGATCGATATCACAATCAATATCACGATCGATCTCTGCCGATCTCACTATCGACCTTCCGTTCGATCTCCATATCGACTCAACTATCAATATCACTACCGATCTCACTCTCAGTCTCACGATCGGTCTTTCTATCGATATCACGATCGATCTCACTATCGATCTGACTATCGATCTCACAATCGCTTTCACAATCGATCTCACTATCCCTCTTCCGATCGATCACACTAAGAATTTCAATATCGATCTCATTATCCCTCTCAACATCGGTCTCACTAATTATCGGTCTCACCATCGGCCTCACTATCGGTCTCTCCGTCGATCTCACTATCTCTCTCACTCGATCGATATCACGATCAATCTCACTATCGGTCTCACTACGGGGCACCGACTGGACACCGACGGGACACTGGCGGAACGCCCGCGAGACTCCCGTGGCCAAAGCCCGACAACCCGGGGGGCGGTCTTTCGGCTCGGCGG